TGGTTTTGGCAGGATGGCCATTTTTACTATGTTAATCCTACCAATCCATGAGCATGGGAGATCTTTCCATCTTCTGATATCTTCTTCAATTTCTTTCTTCAGAGACTTGAAGTTTTTCTCAAACAGGTCTTTCACCTGCCTGGTTAGTGTCACATCAAGGTACTTTATGTTATTAGTGGCTATTGTGAAGGGTGTTGTTTCCCTGATTTCTTTCTCAGCCCGTTTGTCTTTGGTATACAGGAGGGCTTCTGATTTTTTTGAGCTAATTTTGTATCCTGTCGCTTTGCTGAAGGTGTTTATCAGCTGAAGGAGTTCTCTGGTTGAATTTTTGGGGTCGCTCATATATACTATCATATCATCTGCGAATAGTGATACTTTGACCTCTTCCTTTCCAATTTGTATCCCCTTGATCTCCTTTAGTTGTCTTATTGCTTTAGCTAGGACTTCAAGTACTATGTTGAAGAGATATGGAGAGAGTGGGCAGCCTTGTCTTGTCCCTGATTTCAGTGGGATTGATTTAAGTTTCTCTCCATTGAGTTTGATGTTGGCTATAGGCTTGCTGTATATTGCCTGTACTATGTTTAGGTATGTGCCTTGTATCCCTGATCTCTCTAAGACTTTAAACATGAATGGGTGTTGGACTTTGTCAAATCTGAGCCGGGATTTTAGGTCCTTTCCATGCATTGTCTTTGATTGAGGTATCATTCTCTTTAGGGCCCCCAGGGCTCAATTTTTATGGTTTCGTTGGTCTCCTTTTGGAGCTCCTGTCCTCTCTGCATCTTTTTCTATCCCTCCCTTCTTTCATAAGATTCCCTGCACTCTGCCCAAAGTTTAGCTATGAGTCTCAGCCTCTACTTCAATACCTCGATCTGTAGAGTCTTTCTGAGGCTGTCTGTGGTAAGCTCTTGTCCTGTTCCCTGTCTTCTGCTTCTAATGTCTATCGTGTTTGTCCTGAATGTGGATTGAGCATCTTCCCTAGGGTCTTTTCTTGTTATTTAGCTATACTCACTCATAAGTGGATATTAGCCACATAATATAGAATAAACATACTAAAATCCATACTCCTAAACTGAAAGACAACAAAAATTTCAAGATATTGAAGAAAGAAATCACAGAAGATACTAATGATGGCAAACAAAATTTCATATTCCTGGGTAGGTAGAATTAATATTGTAAAAATGTTTATGCTACTAAAGTCAATATTAAACAGATTCAAATTCAAAATTTACCAAAACTCACATCACATTTCACAAGTGTAGTAAAAACAATATAAGAAGTCATATGGAACCACAAAAGAACACTAATAGCCAAAGCAATCCAAAGTAATAAAAATAATGTTTGAAGTATTACAACACCTAATCGCCAATAATAATAATACGGTTATATTAATAAAGACAGCTTGGTTCTGGCATAAAAATAGACCAATGCAACACAACAAAGACCTAGAAATAAAATGGAGAAACTATGCCCACTTAATTTTTGACAAATAAGGTCTGGTGGTTTGAATGAGAATGACCCATGAGCTCAACTGTTTGAATATGTGGTCTCCAGTTAGTGGAATTGTTTGGGAAAGATTAGAATGTATGGCTTTGTTGGAGAAAGGGTGTCACTAGGTGTGGACTTTGAGGTTTCAAAACCCCACACCAGGCCCATGATCTCTATCTCTCTCTGTCTCTGTCTCTGTCTCTGTCTCTGTCTCTCTCTCTGCCTGCTTATGAATCATGATGTGGCTTTCAGCTATTTCTCCAGTGCCACGTGTACAACCATGCCCCCTGGCATGATGATAATGGCCTAACCCTTTGAAACTGTAAGCAAGACCCCATCTTCTTTTATAAGAGTTGCCTTAGTCATGGTGTTTCTTCAGAGCAATAGAACAGTGAAGACATGGGGCAAATGAATGCCACATGAGGTAAAGCGTCCTCTTTCTCAGGGTGGTCATAAAAAGAGTCTTATATGTCAGGCTCCTGACTTGTTGCCTCTTTTCTCCTTCTTCTGATGTCCATCCTCTTTGCCTTTCTGGATAGGAATTGAGCATTTTAGCAAGAGTCCTCCCTCTTGATTAGTTTCTTTAGGTGTACAGATTTTAGTAGGTTTATCCTATATTACATGTCTATATGAGTGAGTATATACCGTGTGCATCTTTCTGCTTCTGGGACAGCTCACTCAGGATGATCTTTTCCAGATCCCACCATTTACCTGAAAATTTCATGATTTCCTTGTTTTTTATTGCTGTGTAATATTCCATTGCGTAGATATACCACAATTTGTGCATCCGTTCCTCTGTTGAGGGGCATCTGGGCTGTTTCCAGCTTCTGGCTATTACAAATAAGGCTGCTACAAACATGGTTGAGCAAATGTCCTTATTGTGTACTTGAGACTCTTTTGGAAATGCTCTGTCCTGCAGACTATCAATGCAGATGCTGAGACTTATAGGCAACCTTTGGGCAGAGTGCAGGGAATCTTAGGAAAGAAGTGGGAAACAGTAAGATCTGGAGAAGACAGGAACTCCACAAGGAGAGCAACAGAACCAAAAAATCTGAGCACAGGGGTCTTTCCTGAGACTGATACTCCAACCAAGGACTATGCATGGAGATAAGCTAAGACCCCTGGACAGATGTAGTAGCCCATGACAGTTCAGTATCCAAGTGGGTTCCATTGTACTAGGAACAGGGACTGTCTCTGACATGAACTGATTGGCCTGCTCTTTAATTACTTCCCCCTGAGGGGGAAGCAGCCTTACCAGGCCAAAGAAGAAGACAATGCAGCCACTCCTGATGAGACCTAATTTACTAGGATCAGAAGAAAGGAAAAGAAGTCCTCCCCTATCCGTGGACTTGGGGAAGGGCATGCATGCAGAGGGTGGAGGAAGGGAGGGATTGGGATGGGAGGAGGGAGGGAACCACAGGGGGGGATACAAAGTGAATTAAATGTAATTAATAAAAAATAAAAAAGTTGAAAAAAAAACAAAAACAAAAAAAGAGGCTTCTATTAGAATGTGTTACTCAACAGACAAGTCGGAATGAATGGGAGTAGGAGCAACCAAAGAAGCATTCTACAAAAAACCTGTTGGTCCAAGCAGTGTTGTCCACACAACATTTATTGGTCTTACTTGTCTGAGAACTCATAGCAGCTACACATTTGCACAGGAGACTGGGAATCATGACACTGTTAACAATGAGAAGAGAAACTGATTTCATGTTCTTCAATGCTGAGGAACTCAGCTGAATCTAGATATATATTTCTGTGTGACTCAAAAACTAATGTGAGAAAATTTAGATGCAATGATGATCAGAATTTAACTTGCTTTCCCTTTTCCTTGTCTTTGAGATACATATCAAGGGTCCCCCCTCCTCAGCATTACTTATGACTTGGTTATCTTATCTTGAGCTGCAAGAGGATGCTCAGGGGTGGCCAGAGTCTCTACACACTAAATTGCCAATAGCACCTCCCAGTGTTGACAATGAAAATTGTCTTTGGACATTAGTCAGTGTCTTCTGCAGCTGATAACCACTAGTCTAAATAGAAAGTATTTCATAGCACTGGTTTTGAGGTGTCTTCCACCCCTCTTCTCTCCTGTGTTTTGTAACTTTAATAAGTAGACCAGGCTTGCCTTGAACTTGTGGACAATCCTCCTGCCTCTGCTGGCAAGAGGTAGAGTTTTGTGCTAACACACTCAGCTGACATTTCTGTTTTTCAATCAGGACTTCAAATACTTTAATGGCAGCCAGAAATACAGACATAAGTGCTATATGTCCCTCACGTCTTAAGTGATTTCTAAGGATTAATACCATAAACTAATCTCTACCTAATTTTGTTAATAAAACATCAGAGCAATTATTACTTTGTAAATACTATACACTGTGAAGTATTATATCATTAGTGACAAACAGCATGCATTATTCCTGTCAGTCTAATATTTTGACTTGTTCCAAAAGGGAATTTGAAATCGCCATCTTAGGAAGCACTCACATGCCTCTACGCTTCTTCTCTCTCTCCTCAGATCCACATCTTAGTCTTTTCAAACATCTTTCCCCTTCGTGCCTCTCCCCCACTCGATGCTATCTTTTTACATTAATTCCACCTGTTTACAGTGCTTTTTACCTCTGAAACAACATTCACCTGCAGTGTTAAAATCTTCTGTTGTTACTCAGCACTCTTATGGTTGATCATGCTGCCAGTTCCTTCCTGCACATCTGCTGCTTCAGGGTTGGTTGGTTAGTTGGGTTCTTCGTTTTGCCACATGAGTAGGTTGGCACACATCGCCCCATGAAGAGCCACCAGTGGCAGAGGACATGCTACTGATGATTGCCCCCAGGGTGCACACTAGCCAAAGCCAAACCCTGGACACGGCTCTACCGAGGCTCTCTCCCGACCCTGCTAGACCTGACACTGTGGGTCCTGCTTCCTCTCCTCCTTGCCTGTGGTGGAGCTTGTAAAGCAAGGTTGGCAAGCCTGGGCAGCTGAACCTGGCCAGAGGTGATGAATTTTGTACTTTTATATTTCTGAATGTTTTTAAAAAGAATTATACTGCATGACCTGTACATATTTGGTGACAGTTTTCTCAGAGCATAGCTATGCTTCCCCTTCCCCCTTTCTGGTACGCTCCTGCCACAGTGGCAGCACTCAGGCTACAGGGCCTGCAATACTTACAGTCCAGCTCTTTACAGATCAGCCTCCACGACAAAGACTTGAGTATTTCTTTCCCTCACACAGTGAACCTCAAGCCTGAGGGGATTTCCACACAGATAAAGAAATGCATTTCTGTATGAGGATGTTCCCAGTAAGCTTCCAGTATACCTGTCACCATGTATGTTTGTATTCTGGGGTACACAAAGGGCTACTAACAGTGGCTGGGCTGGACTCCAGCCTAGGGCAGGACCCCCATCTCCTGAAACATCCCGTAAATATTTACCCAGGCACGCAGAGCCATTATCTTTTTAACACATCTTTTTAACACTAAATTTTTAAATTTACCCATTAAAATGTTTTTTTTTTCTTAGATTTAACTCACTTTCTACAAATTTGTATGAAGAAATTGAAAACAATAAAAAGTGGACAGAAAACCAATTTATCAAGTACAGAAAAGACCACCTGGGCCATATAAATGAATGTCTGAAGGTTATTCAGGAAAAGCTGGTAAGAGGCTCTGTATTTAATCACTGCATGACCATGACTACATGGTCTCTGTCCTCTGAGCGCAAAAGGCCAGGACAGATATGAGTGTCTGACTCCAGCCTCAATAGCAACCTCTGCTATCTGGGAGCTTACGTGTATTTTAATGCCCGTAGAGTACAGTGTCTGCCTCTGCTCCAGGATGCTCTTCTCCAGATGTGGGAGACTCCATTTCCCAGAGTATGTTCTTCTTGTACTAAAATAATTTGAAGAAATTTTCTTTTTAAAGAACCAAATTTTTTTTAAAAAATGCATTCTCAAACCAAACCTATGAATCAATTTTCTGGGGTCCTCCATTAGGAATCTGTGGCTCTAGACAAGTTTTCTAAGTAATACTTGGCCTCATGACAGTTTGAAAGCTTCTGGACATAAAAAAAAATTTACCCTGTCTGGAATCTATTAGAAGATGCAAAGTTTTGTTTGTTTCTGTTTTAGAGACAGGATCTTACTATGTAACTCTGGTTGTCAGGGAACTCACCGGGTAGACTAGGCTAGCTGGGAGTTTACAGAGACCTGCCTGTCTCTACCTCCCGAGTACTGAGCTCAAAAGTGTGAGCCGCCATGCCTGGCATAGGGCCAAACTTTTCCAGATCAGACCATGAGAAGAAAGTCCAACTCTTTGCAATGAGGTTGGGGACATATACCCGTGGCTGGGCTTCTTTCTCCCACTGCGGGAGGCACCACAAGTCCATGGAGATGGTCAGCACAAGGTCATGGTGGTGGCCCGTAAGCTGCCCCCCATGCAGATTGTACAAACCGATGTTTTGAGAACTTCATTATTGGGACTGCCAGCAACACAGTAAACAATCTGTCTCTAGCCTACACCCAAGTTTGCACATAACTGAGTGAGGTGGAGGCCAAGAGCTGGACAGAAAGAGCAGCAGATTCCTGGCTACAAAGTGAGTCTGCTAGTTCTTCAACTACAAAAGTACTCAAATCCCTCTACCAGTACTTAGCACTAGTAGTGGCTCCGGGCAATCCTGTGAGAAGAGAGAAACAGACTACCAGGAAACAGACTCAGAGGAACCTATATGCCAGCTCCTCCTCCCTGATTCTCTGTGGCAGAGCTCACAGGTCTAAGGCTATTGCTGTGCCTCACTCACACCCCAGGGTCACCCAGTGAGGCTTCCTACTGTACCAATTCCTGAGCTCCATCATAGACCAATTAGGTCAGAACTTTTGGGGTATGACCTAGGGGGTTGAAAAAACAAAACAAAAAACCCAAACAGCTGGAGCAGAGAGTCACTGTGCTCACTGATCGGGGTCCACATGGCGATGTGAGGCTCTAGGGAACAAGGGTTAGTTCTAACACTTGGGAGCATGTGAAGGAGCTTCAAGCCTATTATCATCACCCTTGTGAAACCTCTTTAAATATCAGACTGAAATCTCAAACCTTCCGGCTCTCCAGCAACGGCAGCTCCTCTACATGACATGTAGCATCACAAGAGTTCAGAAACAACAAAGCCAAACAAAGGAATCAACACTCACACTTTGGAGCACAGTTTGAACATGTGTTCATGTTCTCTGTGAGGAAAACAGCACTTTCTCTAAGCTGAGGAAGAAATCCCCTCTGCTGTTCTTTTCTAGAGTTTTCTCACATGATCTCTCTCTCTCTCTCTCTCTCTCTCTCTCTCTCTCTCTCCCTCCTCCTCTCTAGGAAAAGTCTGAGAATAAAATGGAAGAAAAAGTGCTGCAGCTTTCAAACAACTTGGAGAATTATATTAACTACCAGAAGCAGGAAGCAGAACGCAACAAAATGAAAGTCATAGAGAATAAACTGTCCAAGAAAATAATCCAAATGGAAAAGCAGATCTGGGATGAATTAGAGAAAATGCAAAATGACTATCAATCAGGTAAGCATAAGATACCTGACCCTCCCTCCCTTCCCTCTCTTTCCCTTCCTTTTTCTCCCCTCCCCTTCCCAGTTTCTATTTTCTTTTCGTTTAATTAATTTAATTTTTTCTTATCAGTTACATTTTATTAACTCTATATTCCAGCTGTATCCCGCTCCCTCAGTCCCTCCCAATCCCACCCTCCCTTCCTCATCTCCACCCTGCCCCTTTCCAAGTCCACTGATGGGGGGGACCTCCTCCCCATTCATCTGATCCTGTTTTATCAGGTATCTTCAGGACTGGCTGCAAAGTCCTCCTCTGTGGCCTAACAGGACTGCTCCTCCCTTGGGGGGGGGGGAGTCAAAGAGCCAGCCATTGAGTTCCTGTCAGAGATATTCCTTGTTCCCCTTACTATGGCAAACCAATTGGTTACTGAGCTACCACGGGCTACTTCCCAGCAGAGGTTCTAGGTTATATCCATACATGGTCCTTGGTTGAATGTCAGTCTCAGAAAAGACCCTGTGCCCAGATATATTTGGTCCTTGTGGAGCTCCTATCCTTTCCCCATCATACTAACTCCCCTTCTTTCATATGATTCCCTGTTCTCTGCCGAAGGTTTGGTTATGAGACTTTGTATCTGCTTTGAAAACACTGCTAGTTAGAGTCTTTCAGATGCTTTCAGTAGACTCCTGTCATACATTCAATGCACATCCCAACTGTCTTTCTAAATGAGGATTGATCATCTTACCCCATGTCCGCTCTCTTGATTATCTTTTTTAGGTGTATAGATTTCATTATGTTTATCATATCTTATAGGTCTATATAAGTGAGTATATACAGTGTTTGTCTTTCTCCTTCTGGGATATTTCAATCAGAATGATCTTTTCTAGATCCCACCATTTGCCTGCAAATTTCATGATTTCCTCCTTTTTGATTGCTGAGTAGTATTCCATTGTGTAAAAATACCACAATTTCTGTATCCATTCCTCTGTTGAGGGACATCTGGGTTGTTTCCAGGTTCTGGTTATTACAAATAAAGTTGCTATAAACATGGTTGAGCAAGTGTCCCTTTTGTGTACTTGAGCAAAGTTTGGGTATATACCTAGCAGTGGTATAGCTGGGTCTTGAGGAAGCATTATTCCCAATTGTCTGAGAAAGCGCCAGATTGACTTCCAGAGTGGTTGTACCAGTTTACATTCCCACCAGCAAGTGGAGGAAGGTTCCCCTTTCTCCACAACCTCTCCAGCATGTGTTGTCACTTGAGTTTTTCATCTTGGCCATTCTGATGGGTATGAGGTGAAATCTCAGGGTCGTTTTGATTTGCATTTCCCTGATGGCTAATGAGGTTGAGCATTTCTTTAAGTGCTTCTCTGCCATTCGATATTCCTCTACAGAGAATTCTCTGTTTAGCTCTATACACCATTTTTTAACTGGATTACTTGGTTTGCTGCTTTTCAGCTTCTTTAGTTCCTTGTATATACTGGATATTAGTCCTCTGTCAGATAAAGGGTTAGTGATGATTCTTTCCCAATCTGAAGGCAGTCATTTTGTTTTGATGACGGTGTCCTTTGCTTTACAGAAGCTTTTCAGTTTCATGAGGTCCCATTTATTGATTGTTGCTCTTAGAGCCTGTGCTGTTGGTGTTCTGTTCAGGAAGTTGTCTCCTGTGCCAATGAGTTCTAGACAATTCCCCACTTTTTCTTCTAACAGATTTAGAGTATCTGGTTTTATGTTGAGGTCTTTGATCCACTTGGACTTTAGTTTTGTGCAGGGTGATAAATATGGATCTATTTTCATTTTTCTGCATGTAGACATCCAGTTGGACCAGCACCATTTGTTGAAGGTGCTGTCTTTTTTCCATTGAATGGTTTTGGCTTCTTTGTCAAAAATCGAGTATTCATAGGTGTGTGGGTTTATTTCTGGGTCTTTTATTCGGTTCCATTGATCCTCCTTTCTGTTTTTATGCCAATACCATGCAGTTTTTATTACTATTGCTCTGCAGTACAGCTTGAGATCGGGGATCAAGGCACATATCTAAACATAGTAAAGGCAATATACAACAAGCCTATAGCCAACATCAAACTCAATGGAGAGAAACTTAAATCAATCCCACTGAAATCAGGGACAAGACAAGGCTGCCCACTCTCTCCATATCTCTTCAACATAGTACTTGAAGTCCTAGCCAGAGCAGTAAGACAACTAAAGGAGATCAAGGGGATACAAATCAGAAAGGAAGAGGTCAAAGTGTCACTATTTGCAGATGATATGATATGATATGATATGATATGATATGATATGATATGATATGATATGATATGAGCAATCCCAAAAATTCAACCAGAGAACGCCTTCAGCTGATAAACACCTTCAGCAAAGTGGCAGGATACAAAATCAACTCAAAAAAATCAGAAGCTCTCCTGTATACCAAAGACAAAAGGGCCGAGAAAGAAATTAGGGAAACAACACCCTTCACAATAGCCACTAATAACATAAAGTACCTTGGGGTGACACTAACCAAGCAAGTGAAAGACCTGTTTGAGAAAAACTTCAAGTCTCTGAAGAAAGAAATTGAAGAAGATATCAGAAGATGGAAAGATCTCCCATGCTCATGGATTGGTAGGATTAACATTGTGAAAATGGCCATCCTGCCAAAAGCAATCTACAGATTCAATGCAATTCCTATCAAAATACCAACTCAATTCTTTACAGACTTTGAAAAAAAGATTCTCACCTTCATATGGACAAACAAAAAACACAGAATCTTCAAAACAATCCTGTAATTTATTTTTATTAATTACAGTTTATTCACTTTGTATCCTAGCTGTAGCCCCTCCCTTGTCCCTTCCCAATCCCATTCTCTCTCCCTCATCTTCTCCTATGTCCCTCCCCAAGTCCATTGATAGGGGAGGTCCTCCTCTGCTTCCATCTGACCCTAGCAATGAAAGACTCTACCCAGCAGTGTATTAAAGCAGATGCTGATACTCATAGCCAAACTTTGGGCAGAGTTCAGGAAATCTTATGAAAGAAGGGGGAGATAGAAAGACCTGGAGGGGACAGGAGCTCCACAAGGAGAGCAACAGAATCAAAAAATCTGGGCACAGGGATCTTTTCTGAGAATGATACTCCAACCAAAGGCCATGCATGGAGATAACCTAGAACCCCTGCACAGGTAGCCATGGCAGCTCAGTATCCAAGTAGATTCCCTAGTAATGGGAACAGGGACTGTCTTTGACATGAATTCAGTGGCTGCCTCTTTGATCACCTCCCCCTGGTGGGAGAGCAGCCTTACCAGGCCACAGAGGAAGACAATGGAGCCAGTCCTGATGAGATACAGTTTCTATTTTCAGCCAGTCTTGTCAGTAGTGACATCACTGTGCAGTTAACCTGGCTTCCCTAAACCTCAACAGGAGGTCAGCACAACACTGAAAGGTCCATGAGTGAGTAAACACTCTTCATTTACACTTGGCCATCTCACATGCATGCCATTGCTGTGAGAAGGTTTACTTTCTAAGATCTTTGGATCATAGAACTGTGAAATGGCAAGTTCTTAGGCCCACAAAGAACTGACTTGTGCCTCTATTATGAATTTGTGAGACTTAAGTCAAATGCCCTTCTCATTGAACTGCAGGTAATGATCCTAGACAGATGTCAGACTGCCAACTTGACCTTTAGAAGTAAGAAAGAGATGAATTAGCAGAGTCCTTGTAATGACTGCTTTTCTTCTTAAGAGGCTAAAGGCAGCAATGTCAAGCTGAGCTGACTTCAAAGAGGATTGATTTGAAAGGCTCGCCTCATCTGTCAAAGAGAAGGAGAAGGAATTGGGGCTGTGGAGCAGCCATCTGCCTCAAGTCACAATTCTGAGGAACACAGATTCTTTTATTAGAGAAAGCTCTCATTCAGGTTGTGTCCTCCAAGTCTTATAAAAATACATGTGTAAATTCCACAAAATTTTGTCCCCACAGAGCAGCACTGGAGGTGCCTCCTTTCATCCAGTGGCATATAAGTACAGTGTGCTTCCTAGGAGAACCCTCCCAATCCTGCCTCCTACCACCTAGTTAAAACAGTGAATTATGTAAATTACGTGGCTAAGAATCATATCTCAAACTCAACTGACTCTTCTGAAAAGGGACCCTCTTCCTGCTTCATTTTCAGAGATTTAATTAGACTCATTGTTGCTTAGGAAGAGTTTAAAAAATTCTTCAATCTTTGTCTTTATTTTACTAAGTGGGAATTCTAGTAAAGAGTGACTACAAATGAGTGTTTTACTCCGCTATGCTTTAAATCAAAAGATCTTGAGAAGCAACTGTGGAAGCCTTCAGGGAGTAGGAGCTGAGCTTGCAGCCTGACAGGCTTTTGGTGATGAAGGACCACATGAGTAAGACAGACAGGAAGCATGGGAAGGAAGAAGGCAGCAGGCAGACATCGTTAGCTCCTTCAAGCGGGTTACTTATGGTGGGAGGTGGGTAACAAGGATATTTTTTTAACCCAGAAATCTTTTCTCAAAGCCTATAGAGAGAAAAACTATTTTAAATTTCTGAGACAATATTTCATTCGCCAGTATGCTTACAGAGAGGGGAAAAAAAGCAGTGTTCACAAGAAAGCCAGATTCCAGTGAAGCCACCATGAGCTAATTCATCTGTTTATTTTTAGATTTGCCTTAATAGAATAGAATGTGCTTTGAATTAACACTAATCAGTTATGAAAGGAGTGCTGAAGGAAAAGTTGAGGGGTGGGAGGAAATCCAATGCATTGTATTAGTGTAACATTCTCTTTTCCTCTTTTAGGATTTCAGTCAATTCACGACTCCCTCAGTTCTCTCCAACAAATACAAAAAACAAAAATGGATTTAGAGAAACACAAAGTACAGAAAACCCTAAAGAAATTACAGCGTAAAATAGTAGAACTCCAAGAAGTATAACTTTAAAGTCACTTTTCTCCCACCAGCTGGTAGAATGGTTTATTGGGAAATGTTGTAAAGAAGAATGCTGACTACTTCTGGTATTTTCTATCACCTCTAAAAATCAATGTAACAGGAAAAAAAACCACAATAAATCAAATAGCTTTATGATGCCTTTAATTTATTAATTAAAAATTTAAAAATTCTTTATATACATTCTTTGTTATATGTTTAATTTGCCCACAAATAGGGAAAGAGTAATCTACATCATGCACCCAGATGAATAAAGTAAGTCCAGGTATATAGCAGACCAGTGAAGAACTGGAGACTACTGAGTCTGTCTGAAAATAACAGCCACCATGTGGTTACAATTCATTATTGTAACATGAATTTTGTTCATTATTGCAAAACATTTCTCCTTTTCAAAAAAAAAGTTTGTTTTTAGCATTAGCATTTGGGATCAAAATAGCTTATAGATTTGTGATGAAAATATTTCACTACCTCTAAGGGAAGCACACATCTGTGGGACATATATGTCAGAGGGCTAATTCACAACTTCTGACCCAGAAAATCCTCTTTTCTAACAATACCCATGTCTGTAGAAAGTCTACCTTATGCATATTTACAATGTATTGTCATGTACTCAATATGTGTCAGAATTTAAATACTAACCCCTGCAAAATAAAATGATGTACTAGCTTCCAGTGAAAATGCTTTACCACATTTGGCGTAGATGCTAAATTCAGAAGTGCCTCAGAAATATCGGTTTCCTACAAAGTTAAAACACACAACTTAAGTTAAACTTGTTACAGTTTCATTTCTATTCCTGTGATAAGACGCTCTAACGAAAAGCGACTTTAAGGGAGGTAGGATTTATTCAGCTTACAACCATTGTAGAGAAATCAAGCAATGGAAGCTTGAAGCAGCTCATCACATCACATCCTCATTTAGGAGTAGAGAGAAATAAATGCCTCAAGAGTACCTGTGATTACTGTGCTCAGCTGTCTGCATTCTTCTAGAGTTCAGGACCCCTGCCGAAGAAATGCCACCACTGAGTGCAGCCTTGCCAGGCCACAGAGGAAGACAATGAAACCAGTCCTGATGAGACCTGATAGGCTAGGGTCAGATAAAAGGGAGGAGGACTTGGGAAGGGGAATAAGGGGAGAAGAGGGAGGGAGGGTGGGATTGGAAGGAGATGAGGGAGGGAGACACAGCTGGGAAACACTGAATAATTGTAATAAATGATAATAACAATAATAAAGGAGAAGAAAAGAAATGCCACCACCCAGAGTGAGCATGGGCTCCCACATCCACTAATCTAAAACAGCTCCCTAAAAATACATCCACATGCCAACTACCTTGTGGACGACTGCTCAGAGGTGTTCTTCACAGGTGAGTCTAGGTGTGCCAAGTTGACAAAGCCAGTCATTACAAAGACTATCGGTAGAGGGCAACTTTATTTATGAAAATTAAAAGTAAACTATTTGTGGCAAACACTGCTGGAACAAGGACTAATTTCTGTCCACAGACACTTGTAAACCTGACAAGGGAACTCATTACCAGATTTAAAAACTTGCCTTGGTTTGCAGAACAGTGACAATTTTTCCCATAATAAAGCAATTTTAACTACCAAATATCTCACCTATACCCATTTCTCTAATTTTTTAATCATGTAAAACATCTCTACTTATTGTTATTAGTATATACATAGCATTATAAGCTCTGTAATTTGAGGGAATTTCATAGTAGATTTAGAGTTCGAAACACGAAAGTGACCTCTGTAATCAAATATGATGCTAGGATCAAGATCTGATACGCTAAGTAATCACAAATGTTTGTAAATCAGCAAGAAAATAATACATTCAAAATTTTATTTCCCACTGGTAAGCTGTGCTCTGTTCCTTGAGCTCCAACGTCCAGGCCATGGCTCGGCCTGCCAGCTCGGAAACACCCAGGAGTCCTGTCAGCACCAGGAACAACCAGATGGTTAAAGGCCAACACAAGAGCAAAATCAACAAGAGCCTGGGCAATATGACCCCACCAGAGCTGAGCTATACTATTGCAACAAGCCCAGAATATCCTAACACAGCTGAAGCACAAGAAGATGATCATAAATCTAATCTTGTACACATGATAGCGGCCTTTAAAGAGATAACAAATAAATCCCTTAAAGAAATACAGAAACACCTAAACACAATAAAGGCAATATACAGCAAGCCAATAGCCAACATCAACTTAACAGAGAGAAACTTAGAGCATTCGTGCTAAAATCAAGGACACGACAAGTTGCCCACTCTCACCATATCTCTTCAATATAATACTTGAAGTTCTAGTTAGAGCAATAAGACAAGCAAAGGAGATCAAGGGAATACAAATTGGAAGGGGAAAAAAAATCCAAGTATTCCTATTTGAAGATATGATAGTGAACATGTGAGCAACTAAGATTCTACCAGAGAACACCCATGGATGATAAACACCTTCATCATAGTATCTGCATACAAAATTAACTCAAAAAGCTCAGTAGCCCTCCTTTATACAAGTGACAAAAGGGCTGAGAAAGAAATTAGGGAACAACACCCTTAACAATAGACACAAATAATTCAAAATATCTTGGTGTAACTATAACCAAAAAAGTAAAAGACCGGTGAGACAAGAACTTCAAGTCTCTGAAGATTTTAAAAGATGGAGAGATCTCCCATGCTCATTGATTGGTAGGATTAACAGAATAAAAATAGCCATCCAGGCAAACACCATCTACAGATTCGATGCAACATGATCTTTACAAACTTAGAAAAAGCAGCCATTAACTTCATATTTAAAAACAAAAGACATAGGATAGCCAAAACAATTCTGTACAATTAAAGTTCTCTAGGCAGTATCAACATCTCTGGTTTCAAGGTATACTACTGGGCAATGGTAATAAAAACTGCATGGTATTGGCATAGACAGGCTGATCAGTGGAACTGAATTGAAGACTTACAAATAAACTCACATTCCTATGGGCACTTCAGTTTTGACAATGAAGTCAAAACCATACAATGGAAAATAGCATCTTCAACAAATGGTGCTTGTCTAACTGGATTCTGCATTTAAAAAATGCAAATAAACCCATATTTATCACCCTGCACAAAACTCAAGTCTAAGTGGATCAAAGACCTTGACATAAAACCAGAGACTCTAAACCTTTTAGAAAACAAAGTGGGGAAAAGTCTGAAACTCATTGGCACAGGGGACAACTTCCTGAACAGAACACCAAGAACACAGGCTCTAAGAGCAACAATCAATAAATGGGACCTCATGAAACTGAAAAGCTTCTGAAAAGCAAAGGACACTTGTCAGAACAAAATGACAGCATATAGACTAGAAAAGGATCTTCACCAACCCTACATCTGATATAGGGTTAATATCCAGAATATATAAAGAAATCAAGAAATTAAATACCAACAAACCAAATAATCCAATTAAAAATGGGGTACAGAGCTAAACTGAGAATTCACAACAGAGGAATATCGAATGGCTGAGAAAAAACTTAAAGAAATGCTCAATGTCCTTAGTCATCAGAGAAATGGAAATCAAAGGACTCTTAAGATTTCATCTTACACCAGTCAGAATGACTAAGATAAAAAACTTGAGTGACAACGCAAGCTGGATGAAGGAGTACCCTCCTCCAATGCTGGTGGGAACACAAACTTGTACAACTTCTCTGGAAATGAATTTGGCGCTTTCTCAGAAAATTAGGAATAGTTCTACCTCAAAACCCAGCTAAGTCACTCCTGAGCATACACCCAAAAGATGCTCCACCATTAAACAAGGTCATTTGCTCAACTATGTTCATAGCAGCTATATTCATAATCGCCAAAAACTGCAAACAACCCAGATGTCCCTCAGCTGAATAATAGATACAGAAATTGTGGTACATTCACACAATGGAATACTACTCAGCTATTAAAAACAAAGAAATCATGAAAATGTCAGGCAAATGGATGGAACTAGAAAAGGTCATCCTGAGTGAGGTAATCCAGACCCAGAAAGACACACATAGTATGTACTCACTTATATGTGGATATTAGACCTATAGCACAGAATAACCATACTACAACTCACAGACCCAAAGAAGCTAAGTAATGAGGGCCCAAGGAAGGATATCAGAATGTCACTAAGAAGAGGAGATAGAACAGACAACAGAAGTGGATGAAGAGGAACTGGGCAGAAGATAGAATGGGGAGGGGGAAAAGGTGGAGATCAGATGTGGGGAGAATGGGAGCTGTGAGAGGCAAGGGGGCTGGAAACAAGAAGGGAAACTGAGTGGGGACATCTCTCTGTCAAGCTGTAGGCCTACAACTGGGAGCACATGGGTGTGACTCTAGCTGAGACTCCTAAAGGGAGGGGACATGAAGACTGAAGTGAACACCACCTAGCCTGCAGGACTAGTGGAAGGAGGGGAACAACAACCCACCAACAAAACCTGTGATCCAAAAATTGTCCTGCCTATAAAAAGTGCAGGAATAAAGAGGGAACAAAGACTGAAAGTCAAAACAATAATTGACCCACCTGAGACCCACCCCAGGGTAGAAAGCCAGCCTCTGACAGTATTAATGATGCTCTGCTATGCTTGCAGACAGGAGCAAGTGGTCTGGGAGGCTCCAGCCAGCAGCAGATCAGACAGATGCTAGGACTTGCAGCCAAGCATGGGGCAAGTTCCAGGGCTCCTATGGAAGTGCTGGGGGAAAGATGGAAGGACCTGGAGGGGACAGGAAACTCACAAGAAGACCAACAGAGACAACTAACCCAGGCCCATGGCGGCTTTCAGAGGCTGAGACATCAACTAAGGAGCATGCATGATCTAGACCTAGGCCCCATGATCTAGACCTAGGCCCCCTGCACACATGTAGCCCACTGTCCTTCAGCGTCATGATGATGGACATACCTATGATGACCCAAGCATGTTTAACTCATGTAAAATCATGTCGTATTTGCTAAAGACCTACACAGATTTTTATATTTTATTTGTTCCAGTATTGGAGTAACTCCAGGGTTTTAAACTCTACAATTCAGGCACTCTACAATTCAGCCACACACCTAGCCATGAATGGTTTCCAAAATCTCAGTAGATTACTTTCAATACCAGTGCTACATAGCTTGCTAAGCCTTTT